ATCTAGATCCCCAGGAATATGCGGAATAAGGAAACATGAGAGATCTTCCGGCGGTTCAGAGAAAAAATATTTCTTTATTGTTAAACGTATATTTTGATCTTTTGATTTTATACGATTTATCGCAATATTACGTTATGTTATTTCAATGTAAGGAGTCCATTTTCGATGTATCGTATTAAAATTAGATATTTTGTCATTTAGATCATGTTCTCTGTGTGAAATATCGATTTATAGGCTTGGGCTTTGGTTATTAGGTTACATTAATGGGCCTGAGGCCAGTGGAACTTTTAATTAAATGGGCCTATGGCTAAATAGATTATTATCCTGCATTTTCATTTCATAATAAACATGTACATATGACTATTATGATTTATGATTATTTTCCAGATTTACTCATAAATGTATACAAAATTGTATAAATTTTTCCTTATATTTAATATAAAATATTAGAACGCAGACCACACTAGCCAGCCACTAATGAACGCAGCCTTGTAGTATCCGCGCGTATATGTCACTCTCTACAGAAGGCGCGTGAGGGTGAAAATATTTAAGTAGGAGAGAGAATGACCAAAGGGCCAATCGATCGAGCTCCCACCAAAACATTTCTTACCAAACCAAACACAAGTCTAAACATAACACAACTCTCTCTCTCTCTCGATCTCTCTCTCTCTCGCTTCATCAATGGAGAATTCGCCCAGATTCAGAGAGGCTCCAAATCTGCTCCACTCTCCGACAAGTTGCAGCAGCAGCACCGCTCCGACAGCCCGACCCGTTTCCACCAGATCCGAACCCGCGAACCCATACCCGACAACTTTCGTCCAAGCCGACACTTCCTCTTTCAAACGCGTCGTCCAGATGCTTACCGGAAAACTCGCCGGACACGTCACCAACCCGGCTCACCACCAACCCGACTCGGTCCCACCCAAATCCTCTTCTTCGTCTCACTCGATCCCTCCCATCAGAGCCGTTCCCAACAAGAAGCAGAGCTCCTCCGGCGGTTTCCGCCTCTACGAGCGTCGCAATCCGCTTAAGAATCTCAAGATCAACCCGGTTAACTCCGGTTTATCCACCCGCAAACCGGATATCGTCTCCCCGAGCATTTTGGATTTCCCGGCTCTGGCGCTCAGCCCGGTCACTCCTCTCATACCCGACCCGTTTGATCGATCTGGATCGTCGAGTCAGAGCCCCAACGAGTCCGGATTCGTTCCCGTTACTCGTTGCGAATCGAAATGGAGCGTTGATTTGGAAGAGAGAGGAAAAAATGAAAAAGGGTTTTTCTTGAATCCGTCGCCGGCGACGGTGCCGGGGGATTCGGAGCCCAGGCTTCTCCCACTTTTTCCGGTGACTTCTCCTCGGGTTTCTTCAGGTTCTTCTGCGGCCTCTGCTCCTTGAGTTGAGCCCTAAATTCATATTTGTTACAGAATATTCCATTTTTTTACTTATATATATATATATATATATTGCAATTTTGTAATACGGGAAATGATTATGGTGAGAGAAGTACAATGGAAATTTGTAATGCATTGCTCTATGGTTACGGCGAGGTTAAAACCATCCCTTCGTTTATATACAAAATTTATATGCTTTTTACTTCTCCATCAAAATCTCATATCTTGTTTCATAGAAAAAAGTTAGTAACTTTAAGATGTTCATAGTTTTTGGTAGTTTAATTTCTTTGTTTGAATTGTGAAATCCATTAAAAATGTTCTCAAGTTTGATAATTTCTGCAATATGACCACTTTGCATTGAACATTACTAAAAAAAAAACAAAAATGGAGAAATGGGTATATGAAATTTGGGGCCGAATTGGTCCAAGATAAAGCTTTTTTTTTAAATAATTGGTCATAGAAAAAGTGGAGTTGAAAAAAAAACGTAAAGGAAAGGAAAAAGAGTTAATTAATTGATTTTTTTTTCAAATTGAAGTAATGAATGTATTCGAATACATGGACCGCTATTACCCCTCGTTAGAAGAATTCCATAAAAATGTATCAATGTCATTTAAGAACAAGAACAATCATCTTCTTTTTTTTTTTTACTTTTAGTATATTCAATTCATTAGAACGATTCTGTGTTGTATTTTGTTTTATGCATTATTATTGAGGGGGTTTCGTAATCGTAATCGGATCTGCTATCAAGGAGTAGAATCTTCTAATATGGTTCTAATATTAAATAGGAGTTTTATACGAGTGGCAGAATGGTAATTGTAATAAACCATAGTAATAAATTTAACTGTTACAAGGAATGTAATTTTTTAAAAATTATTATTTTTTCCCCAGTGTCATTTTTGTGATTAAAGTTGGAGTGAGCATACGGATGGATGATGGATGATATTATATGGTCCCATTGACTTTTTCTTGACTGCAGTTTGCATATTTCTTGGTCTTAGGTTTGCTTTCAAGCAATATATATATATATATATATATATATATATTTGATAGATGGGAATAAAGTTTATCATTAAGTGGACTTAATGACCACATTAAATTTGTTTCTCTCTCCGAAAGAAAAAAAAAGTCGCAAAAAAGCATTTGCGAATTAATTTAATTTTTTTTTGTCAAAGCCATTAATTTGCGAATTAATTTTATTTGACTTCAATTCTTTATACAAATGTATGGACAGTTTGTTTATAAATATCATTTAAAGTATTCTTCAATTTGCTTCGAATTGCAGATGAGGAATATGAGTCTGTCTAGGAACGAGACGACGTCACTTACAACTTTGACTATTTGAATCAAATCCAAAATAATGATGAGATCAGTTCGAGCAATGACACCAAATCAAAACCAAAACCGGTTAAAGCGGTTCTTGAAGTTAACCGGAAACAAAGCAAAATGTGAGGGTCATCGTAACAAACAAAATCCAAAAACTAATTTGAAGCCAAACCCAAATCGCAAATTAAAGGTAACTTGACTTGGAATCCAAACAACCCGGTTATGGGTTAGGGTTTCCTCAATTCGCACATTATTTGGGCCCAAATCTGCCCTAACCGGCTCGTTTTATTTGGGCTATAAATAAGGAAATCAGGTTTCAAGATGTGATGGACCCAACAGAGGTGTGTTTATATTTAGCACTGGAACAAAATTGAAACTTTGGAATATGTAATTCAGTAAGCTTTTTTGGATAAGTACAAAGGTCCAAAGTGATACAAATACAAGACTTGAGCATGTACGTAGAAAATGAGAGTTATGAAAGTAAAGTCTTGCCGTAAATTAAATTTTATATATATATATATATATATATCAAAGGGATACATAAGGTACGTCAAAGTGAAAGATCTGTAGAAAAAGAAGAGGATTCATTCGCTCTCGAATTCACAAACACATGTTTAGTATATAATTAACATGTAATACGACAATAACGAAACGAAATAAAAAATATATTTAGGGTTTTGAAATGACTCAAAGGTGCAAATGAATGATCATAAGAACAAAAATATGGTACGTAGTTAATTTAAAAGGTTAGATAATATCAATTATCAATCAAGATAGATAATGAATAAACAACAAAAGAAATTCTCTGAGATCTCTCTATCTCTTTCCTTCTTGTTTCCGAACACATTTTCATAGTTCCCCTCTTCAAGAAGTGAACCGACCACAATGTGTAATGACGCTACAACCACGACGGTAAGGATTCGCTCTCTTCCGCCTCGTGCAGTCGTAGTAAGACCGGCCTCGTCTGTTGCACGGAACATTGTTCTTTTTCAACGCTCCGTAACTTATATAACGTCGGCCCTGTGCCAACTGACGACGGTTTGTCTCGGAATCCATCAAAGATTCGAGATCATCCTCGTCTCCGATGCATCCTTGGCCACTGACGCAAGATTTCGTCAGAGGCCAGGTGGCGTTTGCTGACTCGGCTACCATGGCCAAGGTCAGAAACCCGAGTATCAGCAATAATTTGAGACCCATTCTCGCGATTACAAGTGATTTGGAATCAAAATTTGAGAAAAGTATTTGTGGGTTTTTTTTTTGTTCTTGTGTGGATCTTCTATATCCCTTCCTCGGAGAAAGGAGAGGGTGTAATAGAAGAAGAGAAAACGAGGGTTGAATTTGTGGGATAAAAAAGGGCAAGACAGATTGAAACTATGCGGTCGTTAATTTTGTTTTTTTTTCCTTTGTAATAATAAAATTTTTTTACTTTATTTAGGACAAAATTAGTTATGTCCGTTTTTCACTCGTCTCTTTTGTTATAATCGCTCTTCCCTATTATTTGTCCACTTCTATTTTGATCGGCAACCCATGTTTAGTGGAGATATTTAAGCGTTAATCCATTTTAAATGAGTTAATTTTCAATGAGCAGTTAGATTTTATTTTATCATTTTACTCCCCATCATGTCTAAACAATTTAAATTTCATACATGTAGGTTTTATTGTCATGCAAATAAAGAGTTTTTAATTCATTAGATATTATGATGATTTAAACCGGTTATTTAAATATTGAAATGTTGTATGATGACCAACACACTTTTTTAAAAAATGAATACATTCAATGATTTCTGTATATGTTCAGCATTTCTCTATATATGTGATAATCACCATCGTCGAGATTGGAATTAGCACACTGGCGTAAATTTTTTCTATATATATATACACACATATAGAGTTATTGTCAGAAACAATTTTTTTCCCAAATCAGTGGTATGCTTTGAAATAAATATAGTATTTTAAGGGTATTTTGATAATATACCATTTTATTTATCTTAATAAGAGAGGTTTCTTTAGTTTGTCCAGAAAAAAAAAAAGAGAGAGGTTTCTTTAGGATTCTTCTTCTTGGCCATTTTTTTTTCAGCCACACATTTTTTTGTCAGTTTTACGTCACAGTGAGTTTTTCAATTTGATTTTTTTTTTTGTGTCACATTTTTTTTTTTTGTGATTTTTTTGGTGAAATTGATTTTTTCTTATTCAGGATCCAAAATCATTCTTTAAATGTATATATTACAAGAATATTTTACTTGGAAAATATATTGTACTTTTTAATTTTGTTGAAGAAATCGCCCCTTCACTCCAATATCTTGAATCAAATAAAATTATATGGAATGACATTATCGACGGTCCAAAAAAGTATTCACGTGAATCACCTCTCTATGAATACGTCTAATAAAGTCCACCTAAAGCAAGTACGTTTTTCAATTATTTATCTATTTTATAATATGTGTAGGGTTCCGTGCAAAACCTCAATAGCTACACACATGTCGCCTAGATACAGGAAAAATGCATTTAAATAAAACGTGATCAAATATCTACACGCGTGTGTGTGTGTGTGTATATATATATTGTTTGTGATGATGACCACAGATCAAATAGAATATATATCGTGTTGTCTTGCATGTATAATAAGTCTTATGATATAACATTATTGAAACTAATTTTATAATAAGCCGTAACCAAGATAAATAATTGAACACAAGTCCCTATGGATCGTACCCAGAAACATAAAATAATTTAATGAGTCCTTTTCCAAATTCTAGCGGTTGTCTCCATCCTCGTCCTCGAATCCAAATCCAACTTTACATGTTCTTCACGGTTGGTGGTGGTGGCCATGGATGAAACATCGATCGTGCATGGTCTATGTCATCATAACATGACATGTTTCTGATCCTGATTTCGATTCCATTATCCACATGATGGAGAAATCTGTATTTGCTATGGTTTTTTTTTTTTGTGGACCTTTGAATTAAAGTTAGGCGGATAAGGAAATGTTTCGGACAAAAGGTTAGGTGAATATTTGGAATTGAGTACGTAAAATAAAAAAACGAATAGAATCGAATCTGACATTACGTAATCGTATTCGAATTCGATCCATATTTAAAAATTATTTCAATACGATTTTGTTATAATCAAATTAACCGGGTGGATATAACAATAATATAAAAAATTGAATTAAATTCGAATAGGACGAACCAAGAACCAACTAAAAATTGAATAGGTATAGTAAACAACGTAATCATTATTCTGCTCGCGCTTGATCTACACTGTTATGATCTATACAAATATCATGTATAAAATTTCCGTTTAAAAAAAAAATAAAGACAGGTTATATCAAATTTAAACCGACGTTAAATCAGATAAATACCCATCTTATGGAAATAATGAATAAAATGAGATAAAAAAAAGTAATTATTTTTATTGACCATTCAATCATATAATATAATGTATTATATTGGGAGGTCACATCGAACACCCACCACTATGCAAGTGAGAATTCGTCCTCACATTGAACAAAACAAACCAAATATCTCTTTATGGTCAAATGTGTCATCGTTTCAGTCGTTGATTAGAACGTCGCTCAGTGTGCATTGAATTGACATTTTGAATTGTCCGCTCCCTAATTAATTGGCAAAACCAACACAAATATTCCCTTGATTACGCTAATAAATATCGTTCTATATATATATATATATATATTTATAAATAGATCATTTGAGAGAATATTCTATATATGAAATTAATATATACAAATATTAAAATACAAACAATTATTGTTAAAACCGTATTTCTTATACATTTCTATCCAAACGCATATTAATAGTTAAATAGGTCAAATATTTCAACACTTGAATCATCAAGCTTTCTGAACTATAATAGTATATTTTAACAACCGGTTCAAACCATATATTAGAATTATAATGGTTTTGATTATTAGTTACAACTAATAGTCCGCATACATTTTGACTATATATATTGCATGAACACTCTAATTATCATTTTTTTTAGATTTAGAAGCGATAAAAGAATAATGCGTTTATATATATATATACACACATATACACAAAAATTGTGACAGTTTTGGAAATTTTCCTCTATAACTTTATAAAAGAAGATATCAAATAAAGCATACTTTCATGTGAAGAGAATTTAAAAAAGAAAATACGGAAATATCTCTCACCTAACAAAAGTACTCTAGTTAATGTAAAGGGACTTTCACCACATAAATACGATCCAATCCCTGTGAACGGATTTTAATAGATAAGTAAATCATAAAACAATCAATAACCTTAATTATAAAACTATAAATGATAAAACAAAAACTTTTTGTACGAAAAATAAAAATAAAACTTCCACATAAATACATAAAATTTCTTAAAAATATCACACCAACACATTAACTCTCCACTACCGTGGTTTGCCGACTATTGCGCAGGACCGAGGGTTTACTGTCGGTATACCGATTGTCCTGTTTAAGGGGCTGAGGTGGTCGGGGTCCAGTCCGGAAGACCGTATGGCGGGTTCCCACCGTTAAAAAAAAAAAAACTATCCACCACATACACGAAAAAAAATTGAATGCTTCTTAAAAATTTAGAGGGAAAAAAAAGGACTACGCGTAAAAAGAAAGAAAAACTAAGAATTATTTTTCCAGGATGATAATATTTCAACAAAAAAAAACTAGGATGATAATAGTAATAATAATAATAATAATAATAATAATAATAATAATAATAATAATAATGTGGACTGCGTTACCGATCACAAACGTGCCAGGAAAACCGGTCAAACGCTGAAAAATCTCAGCCCCTTAAATATCTCATCTCATCCCCCGAGAAACACAATTCACTCGCGAGACAAACAACTTGGAAATTAAACACACACACACATGTATTCCTTTGCTCTTCTGTCGTGTCGTCGTCGACTTCGCCGATGATAAATCCTCCATAACTACACAGAACAAAGAACAAGAAAACAAACAAACATGGGAAAAGCTTTGGCGATCATAAACTGTATATTACTCGGAATAGGAAACTGTGGAGGACCTCTCATGTCTCGTCTCTACTACAACAATGGCGGACAACGGATCTGGCTCTCCAGCCTCCTCGAAACAGGCGGCTTCCCAATCATGTCCATCCCCCTCTTCTTCTGCCTCCTCGACCGCAAACGCAAACGCAACCGCGACGAGAAAACGCGTCTGATCCTCATGAAACCGCGTCTCTTCGCCGCTGCAGCCGTCGCGGGTCTCCTCACTGGCGTCGACGACTACATATACGCTTACGGGCTCTCGTTTTTGCCCGTCTCGACCGCTTCTCTGATAATCGCGTCTCAGCTAGCGTTCACTGCGTTTTTCGCCTTCTTCCTCGTCAAGCAGAAGTTCACGCCTTTCTCCATCAACGCCATTGTTCTGTTAACCCTAGGGGCCGGGGTCTTGGCTCTGCATACAGCAGGAGATGTTCCACCGAACGAGACTCACAAGCAGTACATAACGGGCTTCTTACTCACCATTGGTGCAGCCGTCTTGTACGCCTTTGTGTTGCCGCTTGTCGAGCTTTCTTACAAGAAAGCTAACCAGCCCATCACCTACACTCTTGTTCTCGAGTTTCAGTTCGTCATGTGCTTCTTCGCCACCCTCTTTTGCGCCACTGGCTTGTTCATCAGCGGCGATTTCAAGGTATATTTGTAGTTTATCAGATCGAGAGTGAACCCAATTAGGATACGTAACCGATTATATCGGTTTTTGTTTGGTTCAGTTCGGTCTTTCTTGATTAGGGTTTGTCCTAGTTTCCTTTCCAAACACTTAACATGGAGAAATTTTGCTTCATACAAAATGGGCGGCGGAAAGCGGAAGGCTTTTGACGAGCATCTGGTTCGAGGAATCAAGAACTGAAAAAGGGTATCTTCTTGTTACTGTTTTTGCAGATGATTCCGGCAGAAGCGAAAACCTTCAAGCTGGGAGAGACATTGTACTATGTCGTGATCGTTTTCGCGAGCATGATGTGGCAATGCTTCTTCTTAGGAGCCATTGGAGTGATCTTCTGCGCATCTTCCCTCGTCTCGGGGATTCTCATCGCCGTTCTTCTTCCCCTTACAGAGATCTTAGCCGTCGTTTTCTTCGGCGAGAAGTTTCAAGCCGAGAAAGGAGTTTCTCTCGTCCTATCCCTCTGGGGATTCGCCTCCTACTTCTACGGAGAAGTCAAATCCGACAAGGAACGAAGAGATAACGAGCGAACTCGGGAGGAGACGGATATGGATCGGGTTCCACGTCCGTAGCCAAGTGTCTCTTCTGCTTTATAACAGAACAAAGCATTACAAGAAGCAGTGTTTTTTTATATAACGCATTGTTTCACTTATGTTCTGTTTTTTTTTTTTTTTTTTTTTTTAAAAATCATCGTGTTGTGTGTGTGTGTTGTCATCTGCAATAAGCTTAGTTTCAGTACCATAATGTTAGTTCAATATTTTCTAAAATTTCGAAATGGTATATATCTCCGATTCAATATTTCTAAATTTCTTGTAAAGTTAATTCAATGATTTTTTTTATGTTTCATATGGACCGGGCATCATTCTTAGGATCTGAAATATTAACATAATTGAACGAAATTCAACCCATGAAATATTTTGTTTTATGCATAATTTTTTGTTTGGAAACTCGTTTTAGTCTATAAACAGGCCTTGGAAATCTATATTTAACCGTCCAAATCAACCACTTATATGCATTTAGCATTTATTTCATCTATTGTAATCAGCAGTGTTGCTCGTATCTAGGTTTTGCAATTTCGTTAACCATACTGATTCTAATTCGGTTTCAGGATCAGGGTTGAAGTTTCTAAACCCGGTTTAATTCTGGATTCCGGATCGAACCAAAACCGATGAGAAAACCCGTAACATAGACGAAAACCGATATTAAAACCCGAACCGGATCCACTCAAATATTTATATTGTATATAAATATAATCATAGATGTTGACAGAAAGCAAAAGTATCCACTTCTTTGTAGCAAACTTCAAACTTTCAAACGTCTCTTTAACCTTTTTAATATATTTCCCGAGCATATTTAAATAAAAAGAGTAAAAGTATATTAAACTATATTAAAATGGTTTGTATTTTTGTTATCAAATATTAAATGTTATATTTCCCGATTGTATTTATTTAGGTCTTATCCACCATGCAAGTGTGGCATCGTTCACTTGAAAGTTGGATGGAGCTCATGCTGTCTTAAGTCAAGCATGTCACATCTTTTTTATCACGGACTTCTATGTCACTAGTGTCCACAAAATCTTTGACTAATTCTTATCCCAAAGTTCTTATATTTAATTATTATGGAAAGCTAATGAAATTTATTTGCGGTATGACTAAATTATATTGTTCTAACTAGATATTCCTTAGTCTATCACACTTTCAAATTTTTTTTAGGATTATAATTTGATAACGTATACTGTTCTTGTCTTGTTGTGCAACTTGTGTTCAATAATAGGACTCAACTTCGATATCTAACAATCATCAAACATATCTAAAACCCCCTTTAAAATGATAAGAAAAAAGCATAAATCTAAATAAATCTCTTATAAATATATTTAAAAATTGTCATATGCATCAATTTATCTATTTTAGTTTTAATGATAAATTAATTTTTTTTTATAACAACATATTTTAAACTGAATTACCTTATATGCACACATTACAATATAATAATGAGTTTCACGAGATTTTTATGATGAGAGAAAAATCTGCCGCAACAATGATTTGTGAAGAATATAGGTTACAGAAATTTTAGGGAAGTTGATGGATAATATGATCACAATTAACATATCAAATCATGGACAAATGTACAAAGTTACCCCCGAAACAATTTCAATAACCACTTGTTGTGAATTTTGATTTTTCCCTATATACATACCGACACTTCTATTCCATTTTTTCTAACAAACTTATCATTTAATTCGATATTTTTGTAAAATTTTAGATCTTTTATTGTCAAAATCTGATGCATCATAGTTTAATCTCTAACAAATCTCCCTATATATATATATTAAATTATCATTTGAACACATATTTTCTTAGCTTACCGAAATACAAAAACAAAAGTTGGCATATTAGTATCATTTTAACACATTTTTGTTTACCTTAGTTAAATAACATTTTCGGCTTGTCTTTGATATATCATTTTGTTTGTTATCCATTAAAGAAAATACAAAATGGAAATTTAACTCCGTTTTCGAATTGTTTTACACTGAAATTACTGTCCGTGAGGGATCTAGAACTATAAATATCTACAAAAATTAATTTTCGTATGCAATAATAAGATAACGAAAAAATAGATAATATTAATTTAATTTTATTAAGATATGTACAACATAAATACTACTTTTTATACATTTATATAAATTAATTTAAAAATTAAACTATAATATTTAGATCCACTTATTACTACTTATATCTATATATTATAATACTTCTAAAAACAAGCAATTTTTTATTTATAAATAATATAAAATAATACACACAAGGCATAATCGAATAATATATACAAATTTAAAAGAATAAAGAAAAAAGAAATACAAAAAAGAGAAGAAACCTCAGATCTCGTAAAGTCACCAACATTAGTGTCGTCGTCGATTTTGAATAATTCAATCGGTGAAAAGGAATTCAATACGTATGTTTCGTTCCGAATACAAGTATTAAATTAGAGAAGTTAATGTAATTCTAATTACATGATTTGTTTTCTATCCCGAAATTAGTGTAAATCTGGATTCAATACATCTGGTTTAAAAAAAATATTGATGTCGTCCCTTTTGTCCGAACCCTTGGGACAACCCACGAAGGTGTCCCCATGATATATTGACACCGACACCTTCTTAATATCTAGCGATTTTATCTATCTGATCCCAAGATAAGTTATGTATATAGAAATAAAAATTGAAAAATATGGAATGTCTTATATCCCCAAAAACAATTCTTGGTATGTGTGATTTGACCCTTTTTTCCCGGATTCGAAGTAGTCGGTCTACGTGAAGATAACTCATAAAGATAATAATAATTTTTGAAAAATAGGATAGAAATTAGGGTTGGGCACGGGTTGGGTACCCACGTTTTTAGAGATACTCGTCTTCGTTTTCGTCTTCGCGGGTTTCAGAGAAATACTATCTCTATCTCTATTTCATAATATTCGGATACCCGTCCAACGGATACCCATAACTAAAAGACGGATACCCACGAGTACCCGTATCCGTATAAAAAATATTAAACAATATAAAATTAAAGTAAATAATCAATAAAAATATACATATTTTATTCCAAAAATATATTTTTAAGTTTAAAAATTATTAAAATATAATAATATGCATAGAATCCTAGAAATATTTTAAAATATACACAATAATTTGAAGTTAAATCTATCAAAATTTGAAAATCCAATATATAATCCTAAAAAAAAGTAAAAATAACCTAAGTATTTTAGAAATTATATTAAAAATATAAGGTTAATTTTGTAATTTTAAAATTTTAATATATATGCGGATACCCGCGGATACCCGTTATTTCAATATATAAAACCCGAATCTATACCCATATGACGGGTATTCTAGTTTTTAATACTCGTTTTCGTCTTCGTTAGGTGCCGAGTACCATTTTTCGGGTATGTACAAGACCGGGTATCCGCTTACCCACGGGTAACGGGTTTAAATGCCCAGCCTAATATAAATACCTGCGCTTCTATTCCAATTTAAAAGTTTACAATCATAATTTGAGGAATTCCTAGTCATGATCATGAAAACGCCTTAAGGAAAGTTTCCAATAAATATTATTTTCTTCAAAAAAAAAACTATAGATTTCTAGATTATTTTTTTAATAACTTATTTTAATATTTACCATTTGTAAATAGAAATGTTATTTTAGTAAATTTTATACAAATTATGTGTCAGAATATATAATATACAAATTTTAGATGTTAAAAAATAAAAGTTTTAAAGTTGGCTAACAAAGATAAGTAACAGCACAAAGTTTGAGTGAATATATATATATATATATATATACACACACGTATATTTTTAAATTAATCACACTAGGGTTCCATTCCATTATAGGAGTCATTAATCACGAAAGAAGAAGTTTCAACAACCCATCTTAATTTAAGTAATATTCATGACAGAAAATGGGTCTACACGCTTAAACTCCCTTTCCCAAAAGCAGTGGCATATTAACACGGTGATCACTATCTATATATCTATATGTTTCTTCGTAGTTAATGGCGATCATTCATAAAGAAGAAGAAGAAGAAGAAGAGGATGGAGAAGGCTCTGGTGATCATAAACTGTATATTCCTTGCCATTGGAAACTGTGGAGGACCTCTGATGATGCGTCTCTACTTCAACAATGGCGGAAAACGCGTCTGGCTCTCGAGCTTCCTCGAAACCGCCGGTTTCCCAATCATCTTCATCCCTCTCTTCTCATCTTTCCTCAAACGCAATCGCAATCGCACAAGCTGCATCATCACAAGCAGCAGCAGCAGCAGCGACGAGAAGACGCGTTTTTTCCTCATGAGGCCTCGTCTATTCGCTGCTTCAGGGTTCATAGGCATAATCACTGGCCTCGACAACTACTTATACGCTTACGGGTTAGCCTTTTTGCCCGTCTCGACCTCGTCCTTGATCATCGCTTCCCAGCTAGCGTTCACGGCTCTGTTCGCTTTCTTGCTGGTCAAGCAAAAGTTCACGCCTTTCTCCGTAAATGCGGTCGTGCTGTTAACGGTCGGGGCAGGGGTTTTGGCTCTGCACACGGGCGGAGACAAGCCTTCTAACGAGTCCCAGAAGGACTACATGTTGGGTTTTGTCCTGACGGTCGCTGCCGCTGTTCTGTATGCTTTCATTTTGCCATTCATCGAGCTTACTTACAAGAAGGCTCGTCAAGAGATGAGCTTTACTCTTGTCCTCGAGGTCCAGATGGTTATGTGCCTTTTCGCCTCGGTCTTCTGCCTCGTGGGCATGCTCATCTCCGACGATTTCAAGGTTGGATCCTCTGTCTCTGCGCGATGAGCAAGAAAACTGAAAAAAGATTGTTTCTTTGAACGTGTTTTTCTTTTTCTTTTTTTCAGGCGATCCCAAGAGAAGCAAGAAGCTTCGGGTTGGGAGAGAGGGTGTATTACGTGGTGATCGCGTTCACGGCCATAATCTGGCAAGGCTTCTTCCTCGGAGCGATCGGTGTCATCTTCTGCGCGTCTTCCCTCGTCTCGGGCGTTCTGATTTCGGTTCTTCTTCCGCTCACGGAGGTGTTAGCCGTCGTTTGCTTCAAAGAGAGGTTCCAAGCCGAGAAAGGCGTATCTCTCGTCCTCTCCCTCTGGGGTTTCGTGTCCTATTTCTACGGTGAAGCCAAACACTCGAAGGTCCACAAAGACGGACAGTCCGAGGCCCGGACCGAGACCGAGACCGAACTGCCTCGGCTTCCTTGTCCGTAGTCGGAGGTCGAGAAGTGATATTGTGGCAGATTTTTCGTCTTGGTCTTGTAATAGAACGAAGCATACGTTGTAAAAGGGTAGTTTAGTAATTGTATATGCATTGTTTCACTCTATACGCTTTGATCTTCATTACAATAATACAAAGAAAACAATAGCCAAGGAGAAAATATTCATTTGGATCGAACAGCATATTAGATTTACTAATATCTCTCTTTTTGTCGCTTATTGTTATATAAATTAAATTTTAAACCCACACGAAAAAAAAATTTGGACTTTATATATATATATCAAAACAGCCGCAATTAATTCTGTTATTAAATTTTCTTAACAATAAATTAGGACCACCAAAATTTAATTTCAAATTGGTTTAACTTTTTCGTTAACCGGAGAAGAAAGATCCCAAACCGAAACCGGTTTGAAGAAACATCAAGATTAAGTAATTATTTAATTTATTTTGTCTACCGGTGCGAACAAACAAAGACGTGATCTTTTCTTTGCAGGAGTGAAACGATCGTTGCGGAGAAGAAGCTTCGGATCTGATCGTGATCGAGTCGGATCAGCTATGAGCGAGCACGAGAGCCATGGAACCAAGAGTTCGAACCCGACTCCCTCGGAGTCAAAGCCTCCTCCTCCTGCTCCTCACTCGTCGGATTACGCTCCGTACCCTACGCTGGACCCGAACGATGTCACTCCGCCGCCGCGTGATTGGAGCTCCGGTACGGCTCCGATCTCCGGTTATGCCGCCACCACCATGCCGCCGGAGTCCAATCCTTACGTGTCTCCTTCTCCGGTGCCGAAGAGTGAGTTTTGTCGTTTCACTATGTAATTGCGAATCACTGGGTGAAGACTTTCTGTGTTTGATTGGTGATTTTGCGTTTGAATTTGGGGCAGATAAGCTGGATTCGGTGAAGGATGTGTTAGGAAAGTGGGGGAAAATGGCGGCGGATGCGACGAAGAAGGCGGAGGATCTCGCCGGGAACGTCTGGCAGCACTGTAAGCCATTTTTGGTTCTTTCTCACGTTGATAATATCTTTATGCGCTTCGTTTTGTGGCTCCTGGGATTTGATCAGAGGATTTGCAGATTGCAATTGCAATTGGATTTCTTTCTCACGTTGATAATGTCTTTATGCTTTTCGTTTTGGTTCCTGGTAGATTTTCTTAGTGAACTCTGTAACGATCTCTAAACATACCCGGTTGCAGTTTTTCTGCTCCATTTCTTTGTTTCTTTTCGTGTCAGATTTTTCCATGGTGTTAAGTGTCCTTCCATGGAAATTTCCCTTTTCCCTGTTCTTTGAAGCTGTGCTTTTTATAATGCAGTTTTTCGCGCATTCATACCCAAATGCGAATTAGAAATGGTAGTCAACCAGGTATTTCATGTTCTTTGAGACTCCTTGAAAGTGAGGTTGCAATTACAAAATGATTTTTATCTTCGTGAAAGGAATTGAAACTTGAAAATGAAAAAGACTACTTTACCATGAACAATTGATGAACTGATGATCCAAAATGTTGGGTACATGATGGTCCTGACTCCTGACCCAGAATAGGCTGCTTGTTGTTGGGAGCTTCTGTGTTGGCTGTTACTTGCACAGTTGTATATTTTTGGGTTTTGCTGTTGATAGCACATATTAGGACTCTCCAGTTCTTTCTTCTGGATATTATCTTGGATGGAAATTACTAATCTTTTTTCTGAGGGGTGGAGAAATATTATTACACAGTCAGTAGTCTTGACCGGATACTTCGTTTAAGAATCTCTTAAATGAGACTCTAAGTGAATACGTGAGTTACTATCTTGCTCCTTTATCAGTGAAAACAGGTCCGAGTGTAGCAGATGCTGCCGTCTCACGAATTGCTCAGGGTACTAAAATACTCACAGAAGGTGGCTACGAAAAGGTCTTCAAGCAAACGTTTGAGTGTGCCGATGATGAACGGCTTCTTAAGACATATGCCTCTTACTTGTCTACATCTGCCGGTCCTGTAATGGGAATTCTATATCTGTCTACTCACAAAATCGGATTTTGTAGTGACAATCCTCTCTCCTACAAAGTTGGTGACCAGACCCAATGGAGCTATTACAAGGTACACTGTTCATTTGATGTGGTTTTTTAAATCAGTTTTCTTACTATCGACAAGAATATCTGCAACGACCAATATACTACCCTTGTTGCAGAATAGATACTATCGACCACTGCATTGTATGATGTAGTTTTACACTTTTTTTTTTAAATCATATCAATCTTCCGGAAAGTTGCATACTTTCATCCTGAAGTAGAGAGTATCGGGAGAATGTAATGCCAAAGTATCAGCAACTCGGTATACTGAAAGAGTCGAGCTAAATCTCTTAGTACATGATCAAAGTTTGTCTAGGAATTCAAATGCATAGCGTTTTTCAGCTTTTCTTTATAACATGCACATACTCCATGACAATGTACATGATGGGTCCGATGATCTGATTGCTCTTTATACGAACAGGTCATAATTCCGGTGAATCAGCTTAAGGCAGTGAACCCATCGACAAGCAGAGTAAACCCATCTGAGAAATACATCCAAATCATTTCGGTGGATAACCACGAATTCTGGTTTTTGGGTTTGGTGAACTATGAAAGCGCGCTGAAGAACCTTCAAGGAGCCCTCCAACCGCAGAATCCGTGAGGTCAGTGGGAAAATATTCAGCTTCCACTCTACTTCTCTGGTGCATTGTATGAATCTTGTGTGAAGTCTTTCTTTTCTAATACCATACCAGTTCATGTGTCTGGAATGAATGAGATCTTGTAAAACATAGATGTTATATACATTTGTTGTTGTATTATCATGACTGTGTCATAGATAATTCCTTTACATGTTGTTATCCTCGATAAATCTCTAGACAAAATCACTTGATCTGACTTATTAAGATTGATATGATTTCTCAGGTTTAGATGGCGGGTTTCATCATTGGTCTTTGGCCTGATTGTTATAACACAAAAATTAACCGTTAACACTATTTATAAAATGTCCTTTTTAGTCGCAAAAGAAAATATCGGGTCTAAATCGCAAATATCATAAATTTGGAGGAGGTTTTCGCTATTTTGCTTGTAACACCAATGGAGTTAGGGTTTTTTTTTTTTTATCTTCTTATAAGACCGCCGCTTTAGAGATTCAGAGCACCTCGGCCTCTTCTGTTTGCTTCCTCTGTTTCTTCTACATGCTTAAGAGAGGGAAAAAAAATTTATTGCGCAGAATCCGTGAGGTTTTCTTCGTTTTTTTCATCTTCGATGGAGTTCCCAATGATCGAACATTGTTTTATTAGTTTCAGCCTTGTCTGAAACCCAATGTCGACACTTTGAACCATCTCTGAGGGAACTAGATCCGTCTTTCTTCTGTTTTGGAATAGTTTCTTTGTTGTTGCATATATTTGGAGATTTCAATGAACGCTTTTGTTTCCCGATGATGTTTTGAGTTAATTTTTAAACAAGTTTCAGCCTTGTCTGAAATTCAGTGTTGAACAATTCTCCTGTTCTGAGGGAACACAAAGTTTATCTTTTTTTTTTGTTGTTGTTTGGTTTTCATCTTCTGTTTTGTTATAATTCTATCGTTTTGGCTGAATCTTGTGTAGTTTCAGGCTTCAGCCCTTTTCGTCTCACTGTTTATAGAACTTGAAAAAAGTTGTCTTTCTCTGAGTTTTTATATAATTATTTTGAAGCTTAAGATGAATCACTTCACCTGATGTGGATCATGTCATCAACTATGACATGCCTAACAATATAGGAATATACGTATATACTATATCGTCCGAACAGGACAAGCAGACAAATAGCGGTGTCAAGCCACACTCTTGACACTCTGAGGATACTGATCTCTTGTATGATGTCGAGTACAAAGTCATGATGGGTCTTGTGTTTGTCTTTGAATTGTGATTACGGTAATCATGACATTGGTTAGTTCAATATCATTCCTCTTAGTAAAATTGTCTTGTTTTAACTTGACCTCGGCAAAGACATTTGGATAGATGTGTGTTCGATCAGTCTCTGGATATGATTTTGTACATAGCTGGATCTTAGACCTGTTCTCGGATGTAGATTTTCCGGTTTAGAATTTGATTTCCTTTGTATGCGATATTACTAACTTTGGTGTAACTTATGCGAGCCAAAGGGAAGTGAGAATAGCATTGGAAAAGGTCCAAATGAAACTGATCACTTGTCAAGAAACTTGTGAAAACATTCTGTCAAATAGAGATTTACAGATGAAATCCAGACAAGACAAAGGCCAGAAGGAAAGAGAAAGCCAAAGGGAATCCTCACAGCATTTGTGGTCAGTATCAGGAAACAGAGGTTATTCGAAAAAGAAGACAGAGGATGCATCCAAATGAGTAAGTGTGTCTTGATCCGCCAAGCTGTTGTGTCCGAACGCATAGTCTTGCATATTGAAAGCATCGTTGAATTTGTTTACATCTTGGCAATGCCCTAATGCCTCGACGCTCACAGCTGGTGTATCCCAATACGAGTTTTCGGTTTGGGGAAGTGTCAGTTCAGCTCCAACACAAGTACTTGGAGGCAGAGGAGGAAGCTCATGACTATGGCTTTGAACAACATTACTATATCCTGTCTGATAACCGCATTCCACCCCATGAAACCAGCCATTTGCCTGAAGATTATCATTGTTGTTAAAAGAGAACTCAATAGAGCTTTGGTTATTCGTCGAAGGGTATTGATTGTTGTAAGCAAAGTTTTCGACTTGGCCTGTAGGGTTGAATATCTCGGAGATGAGCCGGTTTGACTCGTCCGGGGAGACACAGGCAGTCACCGAGGAGCCATGTGGCATGTCGGGGTAGATGAAGTTGGTTCGAGCCGTTGAGCCTCTCATGGACCGAGCGGCTCTGTCATAGGCCATGGCAGCCTCCTCGGCCGTGTCAAATGTCCCTAACCAATACCTTTCCTTAGTCGTAGGGTTCCTTATCTCGGCCGCATATCTTCCCCACGGCCTTCTCCTCACTCCTAAATACTTTATTTCATCGTTCTGCTGCTGCTGCTGCTGAATCCTCGTCCTTCTGGATTTTGAAGAGGAACCCGATTTTGAAACACCGTTAAACTCCATATCGAGTTAAGTTGTTTTGGTTAAATGTTTTAGGGAGATTAAGAAGAGAGATTAGGTGTTGGATTTTGGTTAAGCTTGTCGTTTGATGAAATTTGGGGTGCTGTTTAAATAAGTGATTCCTGGGTTAGTGGGACCTTCACTTCAAGCCAAAAGGTCCCTTTAGGCTTATTTAGTAATGCAACAAGTGGTCACATGAAAGACGGTGCAAAAATCATATCGTCATTCATCACCTCCCAATCATAAGTGGGAAAGTTAAATTCTTGCTCTTCATTTTTTTTTAATTTCTAACTCTTTTTTCATTTCTTTTTATTTTTTATATGCGTATGCCCATTTTTAATTTCTAATACAATGTTTCTACACTTTGGTTTTCATGTTGCAATGATATATATATATATATACACACACACATATATATATATATGATATAGTAGGTAGTAGCACATATCATGCCAATATGCTTTTAAAGCGTTTTAAACTAGTTTAGATCACCAATAAATATATAGAAAAAAGAAACGCAATGAGCAAAAATATATGGTTTGAGTTTATATATTAAAACATGTTTTATATGTAGATAATATGTTTAATATATAAAAGATGTTTCAGAGTTGGTTTTGTAAATATTGTACAAAGTCGTTTTGTATATAATTTTTTGAGAAAAAAAAAACAATGTTTTCCATCTCTCTGAGTTTTATAATATAATTTGATGATTTTCAGTTGTATATTAAGTAATTTAAAAAAAACAGAAAATTTTAATTCTCTATTCCAAGTTCTCATGATCGAGAGTATCGAATTATTACTTTTGAATCCATAAGATCAGTTGATCTAATGATGGGCTAATCACATGCAATATCGTTACCATGATTGCAATTTGCAACCTCCTCGGATCAAAATGATTATTTATTTATTTATTTATCATATACTTTAAATACAATGGCAACTTCCCCTACTGGAATAAGTTCAAAAGAAAATTAGCATCTATTTCTTGAGAATGGCTTTGATGATATTGTTTGAGAATGCTATTTACACCATAGATTCAAAATCTACTATTAGATCTATTCAAAAATCGAAACATATACACTAATTCGAGAAAATATGAAAAAAAATGTTATTAGGATTGGTATTTCAGATTTTGAATATGTTTGGTTTGGCTATTTTTTTTTGGATTTGTTAGTTTTTGTAAAAAAAAATGTATCTATTTGATTTTTATATTGTTTTTTTTTTCTATTCGAATTTGGTGAGAATTTAGTTTTTTCAGTAGTATTATATTTGATTAAGATTTAGTTTGAATTCGATAGATTTTTATCTTTAGAAAATCATATCCAATAAATTTTTAATAGGATTTGGTTCTAATATGCTATATACTATCATATATTCAATTCCATTTGGTCTTATAAGAAAATATGGAACATTTCATCCATAAAATATAATAAGTGTTTTGTTGATAAATTAAGTGTTTTTTTTTCATTTTTTTTATTTTATTTTAATCTATAAACATAATTCATGTTGATTAGGCACAAGGTTTTCCTAAGTATATACACTTTTACGATGTTGAAGAGGTTTGAGTTTTGATATGGCAAAGTACTCACAGCACATGCAATAACGAGTTCAACAAGTTCAAGCATTATATATATATATATATATATAAATAGATTCAATCATGGATTTGTTATCATGCGTTTAGAGAACTTTATCCATGCTTCAAAAAGTTAGTTAACAATATAAATATTTTTTTTAACAATAAAGTAATGTTTTTTTCGGTAATGATTTTTCATTCTTTGGCCTCCTTTTATTTTATAAACTTTAAATTAAATCAACAATCTGACAACCTAGAAATTATAATAACAATTCTATTTTGTAAATGTAAAATTAAGTCGATAAATATTATCCTATTGAAATATAAACCATGAGAGTATAAAAATTAAAAAATATTATCCTAGTTCAAAATATATTCTACTAGTGTTTAATCCAATAATCGAAATATTAAATTGCATACAATTAAAGTATGAAATCATTCAAATGATGGTTATTTTTTCATGATATATATATATATATATATATATATATATATATATATACACATATTTTTGCCAAAAGGCCAAATATGTGATGGACCTTGTTAGCTCGTGTACACAAACTTTAAAACAAGGCTTGGTGTTTGTTGTTTAGTTGAAATTCCACAAAGCCCAAAAGCGATTGTACTACAAGAAAGCCCAGAAATTAATTGGACAATTTTGTGCTTGAAACACCTATAATTGGTTAGGAAAGATTGCGGAAAAGTCCACTAATTACTAATAATCTCCACATTAAATATGCCAATATTCGCAGGCATTTTATTCTTGCACATATTGATTTGGAATGATGTAGTAGAAAAACTATGTTACAAATATGTGTCGGATTAAAATATGTATTTGAATTTTTTAAACAAAAAATATCATATTTTCCTTTATTTTTTTTAAATCATACATAGAATTAAATTATTTTGAATAAAATGGAGTTAGGCATTATAAAAAATACCATTACTTTGCTATTTTGACTTCAAAACAAATCTTTCTCCATCTGTGACCATATGACCCATGTGATTCGAAATATAGTGTGATTACATTTTGATCTCATTGTTCATAACGTTAAATTTATGATGTTTTAACCAAATGATTAGTAAGATATATAAGGTATGAATATAATGAATTAGTGTGATCACCATAAATTTAATGTTATAATCAATAAAATTAAAATGTGATCATATTATATTTTGGATCACATTGGTCACATGGTTACAGATGTAGAAAGGTGTGTATTGAAGTCAATAGAAAAGTAACGGTATTTTTTATATAATGTCCTATAATTTAGATTTAAAACGTGCTTTTTCCGATATTACTGGTAACTATAAGGACATATTTGTAAAACCACAAATATATACACACGAGAGAAGCACACGTTCGTTATTTCTTTATTTTATTTTTTGGTATTAAGGAAAAAAAAAAGGAAAAAGAATCGGAGGGGTTAGAAATCGGACAGAAGCTCTCGTCCTGATTCAATTCGATTCTCCGCGAAGGCGAAACCGTAGAGAACAAGAAGAACTCAGGAGACAAAATGAGCTTTGTCATGACCAATTCCTGTTCCTCGCCGCCGCTTGTCGGCTTCTCCAAGCTTCGTCAGGTCTCTTCCTTCTTCTTCTTGGTCGGATTCCTCAGATTTTCTGGTTGAAATTCTCATGATGTGCGAATTTCTTTATGCAATTTGTTGTCTCGTAGATCTCTGTCGGAACCAGAAGAGGCGAAACCCTCTTTCGGCCGCCATTTTCTTCTGCTCGTAGAAACCTAAGTGTGAAGTCGTTCTGTTTCAATCTCCCTCAGGAACCCATTCTCTCGGAGGCTCTGAAGGTACCATCTTTTTCTCACATTTCTCTATCTTTTTTCCTTGGAATTTGTTGCGCGAATGGGTAAATTATTGATGACCCGTCTGCGTTTTTCGAAAAGACAGTAATCTGATGCCGGTTTTGAGGGGTTCTGTTCATGCTTGAAGGGGAAATTCAATGACATAGGATTGGGTTCTTAGCAATTGATCAAGTGTAACAGTGTTTGGTAGCTGTGGCTTAGTATCATGTTCTTGCTTAGAATCCAATAACTGTCGGGACTTTTGCTAATTCAGTAGTTTGTTTCCTTGTTCTGATCCATAGAGAACCTAGTTTTCTTTCCCTGATGTTGTGATAACCTCATTTGACGAAGAACATAAACAATTCTAGGTTTGTTCATCTCGAACCTAGTGGGTTCGGATTCATGCTCTGGGTTCGGTTGGTCCTGCAGGTCATTTAGGCGTTCTAGAGTGTATATCTATCTTCTCTTCTCGAATTTGATGTCTTTAATGTTTTTCCAGTCCACATTGACAAATGATTGTTGTTTCTCGGATTGAAATGTCTGCTTCGATCTTCCCTCACCGATAAAGCAAGCAAGAAATCGGCGAACCTCAGTTCGCGGAATCGCCTTCTGAGTTCTCTGTTTTTCGGAACTTGAATATATATGCATGATATTGAGTTCTACTCTTGGTGGTTTCGTGGCGTCCAGGAGCCAGTTGCCTTTGTGGGCGGGATGTTCGCGGGACTTTTGAGACTCGATCTGAACGAAGACCCGCTGAAGGAATGGGTGACGCGAACAGTAGAAGCCTCCGGTTTTTCCGAAGAGGAAGTTGCAGAAGATGGGATGGATTCAGGTGAAGAAGAAGCTCCTCAGCAGATTGAGATTGAATGAGGTTTGTTGTGTACAATTTGTCCGTACAAGTGATGATGCTCTTATCAAAAATACCATGTTACTCCTTAATACATTTCATAGTTGGGATATACATACATATACATATATATATACATATGAGGGTATTATTAGCATAATGCATATATATTAGGAAGTTTGAAGGTATATATATATTATCAGATGGAATTTAAACGAAGTTTGGTCTTGGAACTATTGTTATTATTATATTTTGTTCTTTTGAATACATTTCAAATACTGATTTCCCATTGACTCTTGAAACCAATCTTTCTTTCACCAATACATTACAACTTTTTTTTAGTGAGATGGGATGGGTCATATTCGATTTCCTAAAAACAAATGTAATTTAAATTAAAATGGGTCAACCGGTAAAACTAGCCAGCCAAAATTATATGAGAGTTTGAATTTACATATTATTATGTTGAGTTTTTTTAATTGTAATAAAAATATTTTTTTTGAACTTAGTAATTCTATTAAAAATAATCGCTTTATATTCATTCCATTATCAATAATAACAAAAATGATCATCTTTTACAATTTGTCATGATATCAGAAATCTAACCCTTTTTTCTTTTCTCGATTTCAATTTAACTTTTTCTAGTGACACGAACAAGGAAGGATGATGCATGAAATCAAAGAGCCTACTGTACACTAATTTAATTTGCGTTGAAGGACCAATGAATTTGTATGTGGCAGCTAAGAATTCAGAAATATCAGTCGGGTCCTCTCATTATCCATCCAACAAAGAAAATATAAATATAAATAAAAAAAATTGTAATGAGATAATACATAGGAACATAAAAATAATAAATAAGAGATGAGATGAATCGGGACAAATAGAAGGGGTTTTTTTTTTGTCCCCCACCACTCGAAAAAATTTGGTTATTTGGACAAAAGGCTGAAAAAGGGCTTCGTGTCTCTCTACAGTTTCATTTGTCTTCTGTCTCTCTGTCTCTTTTGTTTCCTCTTTTTTCCTTCTTGTTCTCGTGGCCTCCTTCTTCGCCTTTCCCTTTCTCATTTCTTTCTTTTTCTTTTTAATATTTTCTGATTTCCTTTTTTTTTTTGTGAAATATAGCTTTTTGAAAACAATTATATACCCCGGTTTATATATCTATTGTTTTTTTTTAAAATTTTGTATTTGTGAGCTTATGGTTTATTGTGTGTTTTGAAGTGGCATTTTGTTTTAGTTTACATGCACACCCTTTAGAGTATAGTATCGTCTGAATTGTATAAATAATTCATCATATATTGTTTATTTGATGAATAATATTATAATAAAACAAAATGGTTAGGCTAAGTATCACTCTCGGCACTTTGTAGTGCAAGTTCATTGTTCAAAATTATGGGTTTTTTTTGGTAACGAAAATTATGTTTTTTTTTTCTTTACGAAATATTCATACTTACTCGGGAAAAAAAAAATTGATCGAACCATAATTTTCCTTGGACTTTGGAGGTCCATAAAGCCGACCGTGCGGTAGGGTGTCGTGTCCAACGAGTTAACCCGACATAATTACTCAAAGGGAAAATAGTGTTCTATATATATCCACTTATAATTATTATGAAAAGTTTATGAATTTGTTGCAAATATTAAACATGGATTTTGAGTCCAAAATCGTATAATTTGTTTATCCCAAAACATTTTTTTTTTTAAAAATATTCTTAGAAATCTCGTCTCATCAATAGAATAAAGTATTTAATTTGCAGATTTTGTACTATTAAAATCACTAAAAGAAAATACAAAATAAAAATCACAAGTTATCCAATTTGAACAGCTCAACCGGTAAAATGAAGACGCAAAATATTTGTCCCGTCTCGAATTCAAGGTTCAAGTTGGGAAAGAAATCATAATTCCAATTATCCGGATTGCTTCCGACTCTAGGATTAGTCTTAATACCGACTCACAATACCGGTTATCCAAAAAAAAATCACAAGTGTTGTCTACGAAAACTTGGTAAAAACGATTCAAAGTCTCACGTTTGCAATAAAAAAAATAATAATAATGGTAATAAATGAATATGTATAGACAGGTTATTAACCAAGAATTATGGGGATGCATTGGAGTTGGTGGGTGGGGGTCGAAAACGACAGCGTTTGAAGGTGATAGTAATATGACAGTTCAAGGAGACTTTCTCTCTTTGGCCAACATGGAAGTGTGTTCCCTTCTGCTTTTGCTCTTTTATTTCGCTTCATGGATCTGTCTCTTTTACACATTTATATTGTCATGTAACACATCAATCCATATATCTTGTCGGTTACACTTTGTTTTTTTCCCCCATTAATTAGCCGAAACCCTAATGTAATTATATGAATATATATATATATATATACATATATATTGATGATTTGCGATACGCAAACATATATAGTGAATGGATAAGAATCCATCGTTTCATCATCAAGAGGTACCGATTCAATCAATTTTGGATTCGGATGATTTCACTTGTATTTATTGTTCGAATTATAGAAAATGTTTTATGTCAAACTAGGACAAATTAAAATTAGGGTTTCGATATATTCACACTTTACCAGAAAAAAATTAGGGTTTCGGAGTAAATGTTTTTTGTTTTTGTGATTATTCTGAGTTTTAAATCATCATCCATCTGTAAGTTGAAGAGTAATAATACCGTATCATGATGTAATCAATATCTTCCACATGCAATAATCACCGTCCAAATACGACTATCAGTATAATAAGACCATCTATTAACATAATTCCTATGGAATTATACAAATACAATAAATAAGCCCATTTTTTATTCCTAAGATTAAAAACATATTCCAAAGTTGAAGTGTTATACGATTTTATATTCTTAATTTTTGTTGTTGTAAGTTTGTTTTAATATGAGGTTTTGAATTTAATTTCATTATTTTTCTTGAAATAAAAAAAAAAATCCTATAATATTTATATATATGCTGTGGCCGGGCTGGCAAAATATCGAACCATCACTGTCCTCATGTGCATTGGGACGTCACCTATTCCATAGCCTTCCTTTTTTTTATTATTATTTTTCATTAAGTTCGCATAATTGAAATCTAAATTATGAAATTCTGAAAACATTTTCAATGCTTAGACCTAAGATTTTCTTATATATGAAATGAAATGGGAGATTCTACAGTTTTCTGTGTTATTTTTAAAAAAATAATTACTGGCTTTTGGACGAAAATAACAATTTTATATTTCATTCCTTTGAACAAAAAAAAAATTACACTGCTAATAAATTTTTTTCCCCTTACAAAAATTCCGAATGCTTCTCTTGGAATCACGTTTTGTCGTATAACGAAATTTATAAAATCCTTTTAGCAGCTTTTGTCCGTCCGTCGACATGAGATTGTTGGCAAATAGAATTTTGTGATTTTTTTTTTGTAATATATATATATATAATCATAAAAAAGTTTGTGGCTTTATTTCACATATGGTCTCACATAAAAGGATATGGTACACATTTGGTACCACAAAGCAAGATCAATCTTTGTTTGCCACTAAAACCAAAAAGAGAAGAAAAAATCCATAATAAAAGCAGGACAAAAAGTACATATTCACAGGAAAAAAACAAAATACACAAATATATATATATATATATATATATATATATATATATAGAGAGAGAGAGAGAGAGAGAGATAAAAAAGGAGAATTTGTTACAAATGAGACAATGTGAAGGAAACAAGGAGGAAGAAGCACTTGGAAAACAAACATAAAAATTAAGAATTAGCACTTAATGACACAGATTAGCGCCTTAATGATTATTAAACCAGCTAATTAGAATCTAAACCAAGCGGCTCCCACTTGGGAAGTCTCGAGCTGAAGAACCTCCCAATCACTCTCGTGTCAAGAATCTCAATGGCTCCTTGAGACTTAACGCATCTCGGCGTCTTGTACTGATTCACGGAAGAGCCCTGAGACACGCAATGATCCATCAGCACATCGAATGTCCCCATCCTCACCACTCTTATCTCCAAAGCCCCTATCGATCTGTCCTTGTTTCTGCACCTTCTGTACACGTAATCCAGACAGTCCTCCACTTCTGAACAGCATTCCTCCATTGTTGGTGTCTTTAGCTCGAATGGGTCGTCGTTGTATCGCGGCTTCAGCTCCCAGAAGAGCACGTAATGGCCCGGGATCGATGACGTGTCAGCGTAGCTCGTGTACTCCATGAGCAGGAGGTTCGACGGTTGGAGAAGCTGTTTGGCTTGCGTTACTGCCTTGAGAAGATCTTCCTCGCTTGTCTTGTCGGTGTCTATGCTCAGGACAACGTTCCTTCGTTGCACGAATCGGAACTGAGGCGCTTTGTTGTGGAAACCTGTCACCATCAGAATGTCTCCCACTCTGTATCTGTATAAACCTGTGTTAATGAGCCCACGTGAAATGTTACAACGCATCTTTGTGAGATTTCTTGGACAGATCTTGAAACTGAAAATGGGTCAAGAAGTTCAGTCGTCCTTGAATCTTCCCGAGCCCAGAAAACGACCAAGATTTCTTGAGTTCTACGTTTTTGTTCTTGTCATGCAGTTAGAAAGAAACCCGTACCTGTGAAAGTAGTGATGACAAGTTCGTAGTATTGACCGATTTGGACATCCACGAGATCGACGATCTGATCTTTGCTTTCGAGATTGTGATCACCGTTTTCAACGCCGTTGCATTGCGATCCACCGCTAATCTCGTCGTGGGATTTATCGGCGACGGGTAAGAACTCGAAATAGGCCATGTTAGGGAGAAGTGTGTAGGAAACATCAGAAGGGTCACAGTTAGGGTTGAGATTTATGCCAAAGTAACACTCGGAAGAAGCGTACATCGTTGAAACCAGGGGAAGACCGCCGCTATAGAACTCCAGCGTCGGAATATACTGAGCCATCGATCCCGTCACGATGACCTCGACATACTTAGCTCTCGGCCAAAGCCTCTTCACGATCCCTTCCCATGATTCCCCTTTGCATTCTCGTTCAATCTCATCAGCCAATTCAGGGCTTGGATCCTTGAGGATCGCCATTACAGCTTTTCTGCAGCCTGAATCTGTGATCCAGTCACAGACACTACCTGTTCTGATGTCGGAACAAAGCTCTTTGAAGTGATCCTCCAAGAACTTGACGGCTCGGAGGAACGCCGATGCGAAAACAGCTCCGACCCTTAGAACCTCGTGCCGCTGGATCAACCCGCAAAGCAGCTGACAGTACATGCTTTGCTTGCTGTCCAGACACAAGATTGTGTCGTCAGGGCTCGTGTAAATGTTGTACTTGTTGTACGGTCTGTTCCTGAAGTTTTGGCTCTTGTAATAACTCGTCAGAACCGGTCTGGCCATTAGCCCGGAAGAAGTCTTGATCTCGGGTTTGATGAACAAAAGATACATCCCTTTCCCTTCATCAAGCCCTTCCACGTACCTATACAGAAACACGAACGATACATACACCCAACAAAAATATTCACTGTTTCATTCGTTTTTGTTTTTTTGGTTGCTGAAGATTCTGAAAATCGAGGAGAAAAAACGTACTTGTTCATCACGGGTACAAGCATGTTGTAGAAGAATGTTTTCCTGTCCAGTTCTTGAGCTGTCGAAGGCATCAACTTCGGCTGTCCTTCTGATGTCCCCGAACTGCACCAATATAATCATTGACAGAATCAGTAATGCAATTAACCTTTGTATAATCTCGAAAATCAAGCACCTCATGAACATGCGTATATACGTATGTGTGTGTGTGTACCTTGTGAGGAGCTCGGTGATGGGTTGAGAAGAGATGACGTCAGGGGATTGACCATCAGCGATCCTTTGGATAAAGGGCTTGATATCCTCGTAATTCACCACCGGGACCTTGTTCTTGAAGATTTGCCTGCTGAATCGGCCGTCGACCAGAAACGCTTTGAGGTATTCGGTGCCCGAGTTTTGAGAGAGAATCTCATGAAGGACTTGCTGCTGTATCTGCTCCGCATTCGCGGTCAGATCTTCGAGAATCTTGAGGCCTGCGTCTGTGTCGTTTGGGTCATAACTCGGTATCGTTTTCTGCATTTTTAGTCAGTCGTGTCTGAGACAAGACACGCAAATCATGTAGGGA